CGAAGCTCATCCGCGTCTCTGGTCTCTCACAGTTCTCATCCGGTCTCTGGTCTCTCCCAGATCTCATAGGGGTCTCTGGTCTCGCCCGGTTCTCACCCGGGTCTCTGGTCTCTCCCGGATGTCATCCAGGTCTCTGGTCTCTCCCGGTTCTCATCCGGGTCTCTGGTCTCTTTCGGGGAATCGCTGCGGTTCTCTGAGGATGAGGAATGGCTTATCTCAGGGCAGATAGTTGGATATCAATGATTTCTTCCATATCGTTTCCTCATCAGGCACTTTGAATCACAGTGTAATACTGTGAATGAAAGACGAATGGGTTCGATTCCCGGCCCAGGGTCTTTCTGCAGGGAGTTTGCATGTTCTCCCTGAGCATGCGTGGGTTCTCTCTGGGTACTCTGGCTTCCTCCCACAGCCCCCAAAAATTAGCTGTTAGGTTAACTGGCTTGTTTAAAGGGTAGGGTTAAGGTAAATGAGGGTGGGTGGTTGTGTGTCTCTGTGTTGACAGAATGGCGACCTGTCCAGAGTGACCCCGCTTCTCACCCGTATACTGCACCAGCCCCACCGATGAAGCAGGAGAAGATGGGTTGGATGATGAATGGGTTATGTTCAAAGGGGGTGATTATTTTTTAATCTCATTTCTCATTTGAAAACAGATAAATGTTTATTCTTCAGTTAACTAACATTTCCTTTATGCCTAAAATTAGAGCAGAAATAAACTAGATAATATTATACTTTAATAGAGGGGCTTATCTGCTATGTATAGATCTATGTTAACCTGATGTGATTCAACAGAATATTTCCACTTTTTGTTTCTTTCTGTCGGTGTGGTTCTGGCAGGATCAGGAGTGATCTAATGGATGTGAACGTCGAATAGCTGTGGTTGCAGATCTGGATATATGGACCGGAAACATCCCAGCCAGACAGGATGGTGGCCATTAGGCGGAACGTTTAGATTAGATTACCCTGAAAATGAGGCTCAGTTCTAAACTTCATAATCTCTGCTTTATGGTTCCTTTCCACTGCAGCTTTTTTTTTTCTCTATTGTGACCATTTCTGGTTGGATTATTAGATTCCCCTAGCAGGAGATAGGAATACATCACAAGGCGGATAGATGGAGTCAGTATTTGTTTAGATGTGTAACTATTTAAACAATTAAAGGTGCAGTAGGAGATATTTTCTAATGCATTTTTTACCATGCAGCTTGAAGATCTCCCCATAGCCGCGTAGCAAGCAGTGAAATAGAAGGCCTTGAAGTGAAACAAAAATAAATGGTCCCTGCTACAGTGAAAATCAATGAGTAATGTCTACCAATCACAAAACAAGGTCTATTGTACACGACTGGTTCCTGACACGTCAATCATGGTCGTCTGCTTGTCCTCCCCCGGTGCGCGTACCCTGACACATGAACAAATCGACCCCCAATGCTTGTGCAGGACTCAATGGCTGGAAGCTAGCCACTGTTATGCTACGTTCACACTTAAAGCAGCAAGAGCAGCAAAAACCTGCATGCTGCTTAATTTTTGATTCTTGTACAAGTTTAGTTCTGATGCTCGACTGAAGCATCTTTGTTGCTCTGGCTGCGTGTTGGAAAAGTGGTTCTGATGTAATGATATTTCTGTTTTTGATGCAATGTGAACTTCCACTTTGGGATGATATGTATTGTGTTTAGACAGTCCAAAGTTATTTATTTGCTGATTATAAAGCTAATTTACTTTAGTCGAGGAAGACAGCTCCTACAGCTCCTCTATGGTTCAGCCTTGGTTTGTTTTCTTCTGTGAAGAAGCAACCGTTCTGTCACAGTGGGGTAGTTTGTCCTTTGAGTTGTTCCCATGCACCAGCGCTCCCTTTAGCCCCATTTTGCCCGTTTAGCTTGACCCGGCTCCATTTTTACACCCAGGAAACCGGAAGCATCTTTAACGAAACGTTCTCTCTACAGGTAAAGGCAGCTGGCTGGGCTCTTTGGGTTCTGCCAAGGCTGTCTTTGACTCCCAAGTTAATTTCCATCCTTTCTCCAGAATTTTGTGTTAGAAACACAAGATAGAGACCAGAAAAACAGAACACTGCCTCTTTTCCATCTCATTCATCTGTCCGTTTATTGATTGATCTATAATATTTTTATAGCAAGAAAAACAAACTGGTAAAAAATAAAAATGACATAAGAACACTGTGATCAGGCTTCTCTCCAAGGCTTCTTCTACTCTGAGTGGCACTTCTCCTCACTAAAGGACACTTTTCACACATTTTAAGCCAAACCATGTTATGGTAACTAGATGGACATGAGGCCTTTAAACATCTGGACATCAGAGCAGAGGAACAGACTTTAACTTTATTAGACTTATACATTTATAGTCATTTTCAGTGAATACTGAATAAAGTTTAGTTTAGTACGGCTCTCATGACATTTCCATTCATTAAAGTGCAGTAGTGATCAAATGTAAACATTTGCCATAAACATTCTGAGTTACAGAATTGTTATATTTTGCTTGCTTTCTTAATGACAGCAGCATTTTGGATGAGTTGCCTTCAAAGACTTCCTCTGGTAATCATCCATCTAACTTCACCTCAGAAGCTTTCAGCGTCATGCTATCATTGCTCTCAATGCTATCATAGCTATCCATGCTATTATTGCTATCCATAGTACTATTAGACATCATTTCCAGAATTTCTATAATGGAAAACTGTCTGAGTTTATAGAAACCTCTGATTGAAGGAAGCCATAAAAACCATAAAACCCATCAAACCAAATCTACAAAGGACTTTCTCTCAGTCTCTCTCCCATTCCTCTGACATCAAGCAGAGAGGGATTTGATTCATCCTTACTTACCTCAGATAGAAAGACTTGAATTTAAATAATTGAAATAATTCCCTAAATCTGGACCTTCCTAATGCTAAACAGGGTTGATGATTATTTTCTTTCTTTGTTTATGGCTAACTATCAGCCTAAAACTAAAATAATTCTTAAAACTGCACTGAGGACTAATCCAATAAACATTTTCCCTCACATTTCCAAACCAAGATCGGAGCTTTACAGAAAGCTTGGATCAGTCTGTGCAGCAGTGGTGATCTGCAGACTGTCCTGCATTTTAGCTTTGGTCCTGAGGGGCCCATGTCCTGCATCCCTGAAGCCCAGATGAATCAGCTGGCTGATCTGCGGGTTTCTAGAGTCATTGATGAGCAGCAGGTAATAAAATCCAGAGGACCACTGGTTCAGATCAAAGCATGATGATGTGTCACAACAACTAAAGAGAACAAATATCCTTTTTCTGAATTCTAAATCTGGTTTAAATCCATCTATTGTTTCCTGCTTATTGAAAGCTCAAAGTCTGTGAGAGTCTTTCAGAGTGGAATGATGGAAATTAAATAAAATGAAACTCTGACGTGCTATACAATTGCATTAGTTGATATGGTAATGATGTTTTACTGCCACCTAGTGGTGCCATGATGATGTTGCAGGTTAAATGTAAAATATATATATATATATATATATATATATATATATATATATATATATATATATATATATATATATATATATATATATATATATATATATAAAGATCAGATTAGTTGGAATGAATTAATGTGTTATTTAAATTAGATGAAAGCGGATCTGCATCGGATAATCTCATAGCTCTAGTATCAATCCTTCAGCTCCTTAAATCATCATTAAGGTAAACGATAAAACATTCCAGTTTTCCAGGCTGAAGGCACTCAGCTCCTTAAGAGCTGTGGCCCCTGAGATACGTAGGTCCCTTAGGGACCACAGTCTCTCCTTAGCTCTCTACTATGCAGATATTTTTATATCTATGGTAAATATATTAAAGGATATTACAAGTTTTTTATTCTTTTTTGTACTATATAGTTTCAGAAACTGCATTCTTTAAAATTATGTTGTACAAATGACATGCTATTTAATGCTTTCCTCTGCAGGAAGGAGTGAAGATGAATTCCGTCAGCTGGGCCCATAAACACAATTTAAAAATATACAACTCATAAAACTCTATCTCTAACATATAATAATAAAAAATCTGTACAAAAAATATTTGATTCTCCATGGATCCCCATGTCTGTGGATCCTCTTCATGGATCTCCATGTCTGTCTGTTAATCCTCTCCTCAGGATCTCTGTGTCTTTGTGTGGATCCTCTCCATGAATCTCCATGTCTGTATGTGGATCCTCTCTGTGGATCTCCATGTCTGTGGATCTCCTCCATGGATTTCCATGTGTTTGCATGGATCCTCTCCGTGGATCTCCATGATTGTCTGTGGATCCTATCCTCAGGATCTCCATGTCTGTGGATCGTCTCTGTGGATCTCCACATCTGTGGATCCTTACCGTGGATCTCAATGTCTGTGGATCCTCTCCAAGTATCTCCATGTCTGTCTGTGGATCCTCTCCTCAGGTTCTCCATGTCTGTGGATCCTCTCCATGGATCTCCATGTCTGTGGTTCCTCTTAGTGGATCTCCATGTCTGTGTGTGGATTCTCTCCATGGATATCCATATCTGTGGATCATCTGCGTGAAGGTGGTCACAGTCAAACACTGTGATGGTGTCTGTTAGATTGTTTCCTGTCTCATCAGGGTTACCTGTCCAAAGTGAATCTTCTCACACAGCGACCTGTGAAGTGAAAATCAAACCTTCTTGAAAATGATTGGATTCTGAAAACATGAAATAGTATTACTTTTGTTTATACAGTGTGTGATCCTGACATTAAACCATGTGATAATAATAATAATAATAATAATAATAATAAAAATAATAATAATAATAATATTCTAGTAAAGCTAATGTTACATAAGGGTGAGCGGCTGAACCTTGCTGACCCTGCGTTCTGCTTTGTGTACAAAACGTGAAACGCGTCATGTGCGCCATGTAAACGTCACTAGGCAACGTCACCCTCCAGCATCCCCCCTCTCCCCCTCCCACCCGTTTCCTCCGCAAAGCAGCATTCCTCCTGCTTCAGCGGCCTGTACCATCTGGTAGGGGGGCATTCAGGGCCGCTTCGCCCCGCATGTAGCAGCAGCCGCAATCAGTCGGTCTTTCAGCTTTATTATCAGCCGGTCTGTACCGCCGCTGCTAGGATCCGGTTTGCGTCTGATGAGAGCGGGGGGTGAGGCTGGGAGGAGGCTTTCTGAGGCAGCTCTCTCCCCCGCTGCCTGGCTGGAGTGGACCCCTCCCTCCTCCTCCATGTTGGATCCATCCACAGATCCCAGCCCGCTGCTGGACCTCCCGCATCAAAGTTGCGTGTTTATCCACCTGCGGACATTCGCAGACTGCGTAGCTGGATATTTTCACCGGGCGGAGAAGAAAAGGAGCTTTTCCTGAAGCAGGAAGTTTCCTGGAATCCAGCAGCCTTCCCTGCTCGCTCCTCCTGAGCGGAGATGGTCGCAGGCCACAGCCGCCGGAGCCCGCATGGATGTCTGTCCTGAGGAGGGACGCTTAAGACCAGGTCCTCCCGAAACGCGCCTCTCCCGGGGAACCGGATCAAGTTCGGAGCCATGAACAGCCACCCTCCGCCCCGCAGGGCTGGGAACGTGGGCTCCCTGCTCCTCACCCCGCAGGAGAACGACTGTCTGTTCGGCTACCTGGGCAGAAAATGCGCTGTAAGTTTACTCCTCTGCTGGCAGGAGCAGGTGCACCTCCTCTTCCTACTCCTCTGCAGGCAGGAGCATGTGAACCTCCTCCTCTTCCTCAGCATGACCTTAGATCACATCCATCATGGCTGCAGCTGTACTGACTGACCAGGAGCTGCTGGGAACAAATTTACTTTAATCCCCAAAGGTTTTAGTCCAGACTTCAGGAAGCATATCCATGAATCGGGATCTGGTTTCTATTCCCTCCTTCAGCAGAGACCTAGATCTGCAGAGGATGTGGATCTGCAGAGGATGTGGATCTGCAGAGGATGTGGATCTGCAGAGGATGTGGATCTGCAGAGGATGTGGATCTGCAGAGGTCTGGATCTGCAGAGGATGTGGATCTGCAGAGGATGTGGATCTGCAGAGGATGTGGATCTGCAGAGGATGTGGATCTGCAGAGGATGTGGATCTGCAGAGGTCTGGATCTGCAGAGGATGTGGATCTGCAGAGGATGTGGATCTGCAGAGGATGTGGATCTGCAGAGGTCTGGATCTGCAGAGGATGTGGATCTGCAGAGGTCTGGATCTGCAGAGGATCTGGATCTGCAGAGGCCTGGATCTGCAGAGGATCTGGTCTGGAATTGCATGGGAGGGAGGTGTGCTGCGGGAACCAGCTGACCCTTTAGCAGAAGCAGGTTTCCAGCCTTGTTGTTTAGATGGGAATCATTGTGATGTTTTGCCAGCAGACAGACGGTCAGTCAGCTGGTATCAGGTAGCAGATCTGCTCCATGTTTCACCTGTAAACAGCTGGTCTGGGTACAGCTGTTTGTAGCAGCCATTCAGCATCACCTCATCAGAACCATTTTGGATGCGGTGGTTGTTGGAAACCGTGCATCCAAACTGTTTCCTAGGTTTAGAAGAGAAAAGTTTTAGATTCAATTTTTGTGGCAGGGTTTGCAGATCAACATGACGCTGAGTTCCAGAGGTCCCCCCTGTCTTGTCCATGGGCTCCTCCTGCTGCCATGCTCCGCCTCCTGGGCTTTAATCTCTCATGCTCAGCAGTCCCAGGAAGGACAGGATGGATTCTTTATCCACCTTCATCAGCAGACACCTGTTAGAGAACCTGCCAACCTGATGTTAGCAGAGGTTCTGCTCCAGAGGAGGGGTCAGGGTAGGATTAGCACTGCTAGCCATGAGGGAGTTCAGGAAATTAATTCTTTTCATTAAAAACATCTCATCGAACATAGTGGTGGCAGTGTCATGCTGTGGGGATGTTTTTCTGTGAAGGTGGAGGTTAGAGGCAGCTGAGGACCAGGTAGAAGGCCTAGAATGGCCTAGTCGAAGTCCAGGTGGACTTTAGCTGAGCCCTCATCCCTGTCAGTGAGAATCCGGAAGTTTCTGTCCTCTGGCCCGGCTTTAGAGTGCTGATTTCACAGTCAAACTGACTTCCTGGAGCTGCTCTGACCCAACGGGGAAGTATTCCTCAGCGTTTCCTCTCTCAGTGTCCAGAGTAAAGCACTTTAACAGAACCTCTGATCCACCGATGGGGAGAAACCATCTGCTTGGCTCCTCCCAAAGTTGTTGTGTCATTTAGGGTCGTCTGCAGCATGTTTGGCCCCTCAGCCGCCTGCACCTGAATATTCTTCTTCCTGGTAGAATATTTGCATCTGATCTGATTATCAGAGATGAAGGACGTGCTCTGTTCTCCCGACGCTCCAATCCACTGATGGCCCACTAAGTTCTGCTGGCCCTCAAGAAGCTAACCTGGTTTTTCCCTGTGTGTTCAGACGCTGTGTTCGGCCGTGGTGCAGGTGTACCGGGCCGAGCGGAGCGGCTGCTGGATGAAGAGGTGCTGCGGGGTGGTCTGCCTGGTCAAAGACAATCCTCAGAGGTCCTATTTCATCAGGGTGTTCGACATCAAGGTGAGTCGGACTCACCGCAGTCTTCATCAGAACCTTTCTGCAGCCGGGTGGTTCTGATCCGACAAAAAGGGACGTTTATCAGTCGATTCCTCTTAATTCAAACCTGCAGAAACTATTTTTTTTCAGTCTTCAGCTAAAAATCTGCAAAACAAACTATAGCCAGACCCACAGAACCCACTCATCCTCCCAGAACCCACTCATCCTCCCAGAACCACAGACCCACATAACCCACTCATCCTCCCAGAACCACAGACCCACAGAACCTGCTCATCCTCCCAGAACCCACTCATCCTCCCAGTACCACAGAACCCACTGATCCTTCCAGAACCACAGAACTCACTGATCCTCCCAGAACCACAGACCCACAGAACCCACTCATTCTCCCAGAACCACAGACAGACAGAAGCCACTCATCCTCCCAGAACCCACTGATCCTCCCAGTACCACAGAACCCACTGATCCTTCCAGAACCACATAACCCACTGATCCTTCCAGAACCACATAACCCACTGATCCTTCCAGAACCACAGAACCCAGTGATCCTTCCAGAACCACAGAACCCACCCATTCTCTCAGAACCACAGAACCCACTCATCCTTCCAGAATCACAGACCCACAGAACCCACTCATTCTCCCAGAACCACATTCCCACAGAACCCAGTCATTCTCCCACCACAGACCAACAGACCCCACTCATCCTCCCACAGCCCACTCATCCTTCCAGAACCACAGAACCCACTCATCCTTCCAGAATCACAGACCCACAGAACCCACTCATTCTCCCAGAATCACATTCCCACAGAACCCAGTCATTCTCCCACCACAGACCAACAGACCCCACTCATCCTCCCACAGCCCACTCATCCTTCCAGAACCACAGAACCCACTCATCCTTCCAGAACCACAGAACCCACTCATCCTTCCAGAACCAGAGAAACCCACTGATCCTTCCAGAACCCACTCATGCTCCCAGTACCACAGACCCGACTCATCCTCCAAGACCCACAAAACCCACTCATCCTCTCAGAACCACAGAACCAACTCATCCTTCCAGTACCACAGAACCCACTCATCCTTCCAGAACCACAGAACCCAGTGATCCTTTCAGAACCCACTCATCCTCCCAGTACCACTGAACCCACTGATCCTTCCACAACCACAGAACCCACTCATCCTGCCAGTACGACAGAATCCACTCATCCTCCCAGTACCACAGAACCCACTAATCCTTCCAAAACCACAGAACCCACTCATCCCCCCAGAACCCTTCATTTCCTGATCCTTTACCATCTGCCAAGTTCACGAAATAGCCTGCCATGCTATGCTAAGCTAACGCAGTGAACACTATTTGATGTTTACTTCTCTCTCTTTCTGTAGAGATAGAATCCTAGAACATTCAGAGTCTTTCCCCTCAAGTTTTCAGCTTATTCATTACAGTTCATTTACACAGAGGGATTCCCACCTAAAACCCAACTTTGAGCACATGTGAAGAAAAATAGGCCTGGAGAAACATCTGAAGTTATCAAAGGAGAGAATGAGGAATTAAGGTTTTACTTCAATGTTTAAACAAACGTTACATCGTTTGAGAGAAGCAGAAAATAAGCTTCTTCATTCCTGAAGCTCAGGGTTAGTCTCTCTCCTGGACACTGAGGGAAGAATGCTAACTGTTATCATCTAGCATCTGCTGCATTGTACAAAGTTTAAACATACAAAAACTGTAAGGAGATAAAGAAAGTTGATGAACTGGTTGGTTTTATTGGGAGAAAACACCCTTTGGAGATTCTTTGTTTTTCTGAAATGTCTCTGAAAATCTTTAGTATTTGATCTAGTTTAGCTACGCTAACCTAACCTAGCTGCTCTATTTGGTCCCTGCTTTGATCCCCTCCCTCAGTGGGTCAGAACCTACAGCCTGTTTGACCTTTTTGCAGGAAGGAAAAACGATGTTTGAACAGGAGCTCTACCACAGCTTCTTCATCAGCAGCCCCAGGCCCTACTTCATCACTTTTGCAGGAGACGTAAGTTTCAGCCTTTTTTTGTTGTTTTCAAAGCCAATGTTTCCTGAACGCAGCTCTGTTTCAGCCGCCTCTTCCTCCTTCTCTTCCTCAGAGCTGTCAGGTCGGTCTGAACTTTGCCAGCGAAGAAGAAGCCAAGCGCTTCAGGGTGGCGGTCAACGACCTGCTGAACCGGAGGCAACGGAAAACGGGTTAGTCTCTGCTTTCCGTCCCCCCTCCCCAACTGCTGCTGGTTGCTGCTGTTTCCACTGTTTTCAGCAAACAGAAGCGGTGCAGCAGTGCCCCTCCCATTCTGAGGCAGCAGCTTTTGTACACCCCCACCTGGGCTGCAGACCAGCAGGTCGCTGGATGGACTCTTTGCTTTCTCTGATCTCAGATGTTTGGACGCCACTAAACTTAAAAAAAATGGTTTTCAAAACTTTTACACAGGAACCACAGCTGACGGGTCAGGGTTGCGTTTCTGCTCTAATTTACATCAGAATGGATAAACCTGCAGCGTGGGTCCTCTAGAACCACAGTACTGCAGCTATCGGATGCATCCTGCATCCCAACACACCTGAACAACTAGGCCAGATGGCCTACTTGGATGTTGGTCAGAGAAGAATAGGGATCTGGAGGAGCTGCAGAGCAGCAAAGCTCAGTTGGAGAGCTGTTAAAGAAGAGTAGAAAGAATTTGTTCCAGACTGAGTGAATATGAGGAACAAAGCGGAGCATCTGAAATGGTTTCCAGGAGCCGTATCATCAGTTTACATGCTAACAGTCAGACGCAGCTCTGCTGGTGAACTCTGGGCCGCTCTCTGTCTGGATCCTTTCACGGTCTCTGAGGGAGCTCTGCAGGAGCGCCCCGGTAGAACCAGCTGTTCTAGAGCCACTGTGTCTGTCTGGAGTTTGCCCACAGATGATGACTGGATGACGGCGTCCTGTCCAGAAACGGTAACACTTTCAGCTTTTCTGGTTTTGGTGGCTGATGGACGGAGGTGCTGAGCGACCAATCAGAAGCAGACGCAGTGTTTCCCCCCAGATGGTGACGTCCTGCTGCAGGTTGACCTGGTCAGCGGCAACCTGGACCGGGCCATATGTAGAACACATTTAAGCCACTTTAAGCCTAATCTGTAATCCCTTCAGATTGGAGCTGGTTTCGTCTTCAAGGCAAAATTTACCAGAAGATTTTTTTTAATTGTTCATAAATGGAACCAAGCTCTGACTGATCAGAAGGTTTAATAACAGATTATCTGTTCATTGATCTTCATGTATAGGAGCTACTGAGGTCATCAGAACCAGAACCTCTCTGTTGATGTGGTGAGGATGTGTCTGCCCCCCCACCCCCCCAGTCCAGAAGGAGGCCACCCACATGGTCCCGCTGCGGGTTCATAGTTTTGAGTCTTACTGGTCGTCCATCAGTATGTCCATCAGGGAGAACTCTTTACACTTAGCTACTAGTTAAATGGAACCAAAGTTTCTGCACCAAAGGGTTCCGTCGGGAAAAAACTAGCTCCAGGTCAAAGGTCAGGGCTCCTCCGGGCGACTGGTAGTCATCCAGAAAAATGCGAGCATTATATTGTAATATTCGAGGATATTATTGACGATACTAAAACACCAACTATCTGTCCAAAACACCCTGATTTAGGAATCAGCCTGTGAATTTATAAAAAGCAGAAAATATTTACAAAAACATGTAAATAAAGGAAAAACGAGGAACCAACAAGATAATCAGAGACTGTTGACAGAATTGAGAACAATAAAAATGTTGCATTCCTCAATGTAATATCTGTACCTCATACCATTGGTTGTGGGTGCTGCCATCACAGCTGGACACATTTCTCTCCTGTATGTTGAACAGAGATGTTTATTAAAATGAAGAAGACTGGGCTGCGTTGGTTGCAACTATTACATATCAGGTCGATATACAGAACAGACCACAAACAGCCAGAGCTTTGAAATAAAGCATCTCTGTTTTAATAGAAACTATTTTGTGTAATATTAATGTTTCATGTTGTAGTAAAGCCGTTTACCGCGCTCGCTCCCACAGAGCCAAACTCGCTCTTTAAACCACTTGTGGTTAAATCCACTGGTTTGATGTTGGCTAACCTTAATGAGGTCCGTCCAGCTGTGGCGCCCTCTGGTGGTCATCAGATTATCGTGCAGTTTCCTCCACTGCTTAAGTGACACTTAAGTGGCTTTCTGTGTGTTCACATGCCAGCCAGAAGGTGCTGCCAACTCTTCATACTATCCTTTGTATCACTTTTACCAGTATAATGACTTTAATATATATAAACTTCTTAGTTAGGCTTAGAATTCTGCAGGACATAGGAACCCCTTTTTCATCATTCTGCTTCATTCTATCTCTATTCTCCCACTCTGCAGAATCTGTTAGTTCAATCTCTAACATTCTGCTCTCTCTGCTTTTTCTCATAGTAGCTTCATCTGGTCTGTTCCTGTTTGGCTGTGACTCCATCCTGGAGAGAAATATCAACTGTGCTGCTGCCATCAACACCTTTGTTTATAGATGTTGGAGCTTGGCCTGTTTTCCAGTGTGGTCCTGTTTCTCTGACTGTGACTAACTGGATGTGCTCTCTTCATCCTCTGGCATGGGAGCTGGCTCGGAGCTTGTCTGCCTGGCTGTGTGTTTCCTGGATGGGGCCGCCTGTGGAGCTGGTTGACAGTTGCCTTTTGTATCTATGCTTCTTTTTCTATGTCTGCTTCTGTCTCCTTGAACCCCAGTGGGCCTCAGCAGATGGCCGCTCACACTGAGCCTGGTTCTGCTGGAGGTTTCTTCCTGTTCAAAGGGAGTTTTTCTTCTCCACTGTCGCTACAAGCACTCTTAGTGTGAGGGATTGCTGAAGAGTTGATGCAATCAACTGGTTTTCCTTCGATAGAAAACTTTGAATCAATCTGATTGGATGATGTGGTGAACTGGAAAGTGCCTTGAAATGACATGTGGTGAATTGGTGCTATAGAAATAAACTGAATTAGTTTAACAAAGGGGCAGTAAAATCTGGCTGCCCATCAGGTATAAAATAATAAAAAGGGAGAAACCCTGATCATCCCGGCGGGGACTGAGCAGCTGGGATGACTGCTGCGTTGCTGTGGCGTATCCCATGGTTGCTGCGGCAACATGCCATTTATTCTGCTGTGAATTGTCTTAAAGTCATCTTTTTTTATTGCCGTAATGATTAAATGTAGTGATTAAGAATAGCCGTTGACTGTAATCCGGAAACATTGGATTCCTCTCTAACCGGCTCAGGATCCACCTTGAAGTAATAAAACCACCTTCCAGTAAAACCTCTAGAAACTTCAAACTTTGGATCCATCCCTGTTTGGTTCCACTGATTAGGAAACCAGTGTTCCCAGTGAGTCCCAGTCTGTGCTCTCAGACGCCTGTGTTCTGTAATCAGGCCTGCTGCAGAGTTGACAGATTGAAGGAAAGCCTCTTGGTCTAGTAGTAGAACCCCAGTATCCTAGGGGGGAGACCAGGGATTAGCCCGGGATTAGGAGTGGATTAGTGCTTATGTCAGATGTTGCTGGTTGTTGTTGGTTTCCTCAGATTATGAGGAAGGAACTGATGAAGAATTGGGGGATGCTGAACGTTTCCTCTGTATCGATTTGGAAGAAATGTTTCTGTTTCTCTGTGCTTTGGGTCGAGGGCCTCATGCATCATGTGAGGCTGGAACGATAATCAACGTTCCTTATTTCAGTCCCAGAGCTACATCTGCTCACAGGAAGAGAAATTCACCTCAGTAGTTTTGATCTGATTGGAGCTGAGTAGATGTATGATGGACCTGCTGACTGTCCAGAGGAAGTCCCTCCGTTGATGAAGCCTCAGTGGCTCGCTCTGATAGCCAACCCACTCATACGTTTCTCTGGATCTTCTCAGGTCCAGCTCTGCCTATGGCCACGGTGGACATCAAGAACCCAGAGATCACCAGCCTCCGCTTCCAGAACTCCCACAGCCACCATCAGCCCTACCACCTCAACAACATGCTGAGCCACAGCGGCCTGGTCCGCAGGGACAAGAAGAGCAAAAGCAAGAAGAAGAAGCTGACCAAGGCTGACATCGGCACACCCAGCAACTTCCAGTGAGTTGCATCCTCTGCAGGTTTTGACCTTCAGCCACTGGTTCAGCTTCTCACCTCCAGTAAAAATACTCCATCTAAAGCAGAGGGATCTACCAGTGGAACCACTATTTGGCCCTTAGAATAAGATCAGCATTGAGAATCTATCTAAAGTTAATTGATCTAATCCACTAACAATTAATTCATTAATAAACTTCCTTCTCTTGTATAAAGATGTTTTTTCCAAAAATATTGAGGGCTAAATATTTAAAGTATGCAGAATTAAAAAAAAACTAGTACTTCATTATAACTTAACCTGTTATTGTGCTATCTGTATTAAATAGTGGCTGAATAAGCAGTTATTATTATAAACACATTATTAAACTTATTTATAAGATATACCAGGCTTTAGGTTACGAAGTGTAAAAAGGGTTAATAAAATATGTGTCTCATTTAGAGGCAATATTAGGTGTCAGATTGTTTTCCAATTTATTTTAATAAATGTTAACTTTGATGTTAACATGAGGGCAGAATACCTTCTACCCTTATTTAATTCATCAGTCTTTCAGTCTGACTTACTGATTACTCCAAAAGCAGTTAATAATTACTAGGGATGTACGATATAATCGGCCCCCTATCGGTATCGGCCTTAAAACTGAATATCGGACATCGGCCACCCCACCGATATTTAACCCGATATTTGATCAGCTTCTGAGTTTCTAAAGTCTAAAAAATAAAAATAAAATACTAGTTCTTCTTCTTCCTCAAAAACTTCTTTTTTACAGACTTAAAAACTTCTAAAGACGAGGGAAAAAATATTGATACAATAAAATATCACAATATCTTCATATGCTGATATATTGCCATTTAAAAACACCATATCAATCTCATTTACTAATGAAATATTGCTATATGTCATCGTTATGCTACGAAATACCCCGAAAATTCACGAAATTTTGCCATATTTTTATATGTTGATATATCGATCTATCTTACTAACAAAATCTCACAAGAATTTGCAAAATATCATGAGAGTTTGTAACAGAACGATGAAATTTCACGAGATTTTGAAAGTAAAATAGATCGATACCGCGTTTTTAAAAATCAATTTGATATCAGCATATGAAAATATATTTGAGTATATTATTTTTCAAAGTGTCAGAAATGGATAACAAAACTGCTATTTTCAATGACTACTTATTTTTGTCCAGCTTTAACATCGGTATCGGTTATCGGCTACATGAGTTTTAAAATATCGGCATATCGGATATCGGCCAAAATCCCAATATCGTGCATCCCTAATAATTACAGCTCTTTTAAAAACATTTAACCCTTAGTTTCCCTCATCCAAATTTCAAGGCAAGAAAACCTCTTCTTTTTGTAACTTTGTATCGTCCACCAGGTCTTTACTCTGGATTTTTAGATGAGTTTTCAGAGTTCCTTTCTGATTTGGTTTTAAAAACTGACAGGGTCATCATAGTGGGAGATTTTAACATCCATGCTGACATTGAAGGCGATAGCTTAAGAGAAGCCTTTAATGCTATCTTAGACACTATTGGCTTTTTTCAAAATGTGAATAGTCCCACACATTCTCATCTTCATACTTTGGATCCTGTGCTGACATACGGCATAGAATGTGAAGAAATGACAGTATTTCCTCACAACCCTGTCCTCTCTGATCACTTTCTAATAACCTTCAGGATTACTTTAACAGAGTTCTCCTCCCCCAAAAGAAGGTTCCACTTTAGAAGATCATTATCAGAGTGCAGTTATAAATGTTAAATAATCTGTTTCACTTTCTCTCTCCTTTGTGTTGCTTAGCAGTGCAGAAGGCGAAAGCTTAGTTTATCCCCCTTTACGGTACCTTCACGCCGTTATATTTCATCAGTAGGGATGAAATAGAACAGGGTGTTCAGGTTGCTCTCAGATAACTGTTAAAACTGGGTCCCTTGATGTGCAACAACTTTAAATAAAGCTTTCCCCATTTACCCTGCTTATTGCCAACATGCCTTTATCTATGATGTAATAAATGTTTTACAAACGACCTCTAGTGGACGGCGGTAACATCACAACACTTAAGTCTGAGGAATTAATCTAATAATTCATTAATCAACAATAAACAGTAAGTTAATTTGTTTAAATTCCTTATTTATATACAAACATGTTTATTCTAATCCAGGAGCAACCATCTTATTCTGTTGGTATCATTTTACTGACCCACTCAAAAAAACTGGGTTTTTTTGCAGTAAATTCCAGAATGTATAAATCATCTTAAACAGACATTATTGATTAGTTATTGATTTAAACTCTGCCTTGAACTGTTGTAGTGATTACAGAGCACCTCCCTGATGGGGTAACCCTGCGGCGCAGTGAGCTACGCTGCTCCACAGACATGCAGCTGTCGCCGTAGCATGGCGACGCTTCACTGTCCTTCCATCAGACCATCAGCTGATTGGGAAATCTTCCAGGGGCCGGTCCGGGTACCAGATCCTAGATTCTGGTCCCGTTAGCAGATGAAGTGCTGGACTTTGGACCAGCAGGGTTTCCTGTTAGCTAAGTAGCCTTGTGTCAGACAGCTGGCCAGCAGTGTGCAGGTGGTAGAGCTCTTTTCCTGGCCTCTTAGACTGTTCTGCTGAGTGATATTAGATCTCAAAGCTTTGTCAGTTCGGATGAGCTTCAGCCATAGAAACCAGCCCATCCAGATCCTGCTGCAGACGCTGACCCAGTGTTTCCAGATCCTTTCAGAACCTTTGGACCTGGTTCCACCAGTGACCGAGCAGTGATGTAACGCTCTGCCCTGTCAGATCGGATCTCTGTTGTTTCTGACCAGCTGATCTGGATTTAATGCATGTAAACATGTCCGCCATCTGACCTCATCTCTCTTCCTCTTCCTCAGGCACATCGGCCACGTGGGCTGGGATCCAAACACGGGCTTTGATGTGAGTACGAAACTACGACACAATGGCGAGTTCTCCGCTGGCCGCATGATGTCATCACACGCTAACTGAGGTCGCTCTTAGCCTCCTGCTGCGTCAGATCAACCATTGGAGCTAACAGAGTCGCTTTGTTCTCCCCATGGCTGCTGGGAGGAAATATAGACGGCTATCATTTAGACATAGAAAAGCTAGATTGACTCTGCCCTTAAGACTCTCACCCTAATCTGGGTTTAGGTGCTCAGGTGGGGCCCTGTGGACACTAGGGGTGTGCAAAATAATCATCATGATGATGCATCGTGATTCTAATTTTCATGATCTACTGCATCGATTCTTGACACCAAGTATCGATTATTAATTTAAAAAAATGAGTAAATAAAATTGCATGAATGGTTGGCGAACATCAGCCAAAAACAAGTGTAATACAACTTCCAGTCCAGTAGATGTCGCTGCGGATGTGTTGATGCACACTGCCTTGTGTCACAAGCATTTCTACTGCGCCGAATCATTCAAAAACAAAACATGGAGGAGAAAATATTGCAATGCATCGCAATAATTCAAGTATCGTGATGCATCGTGATAGAATCGCATCGTGGCTTGTGAATCGCGATCCGAATCGAATCGTGACTTCTGTGGCAATACCCACCCCTAGTGGACACGATGATCATAGAGAAGAAGAACTAGAGGAGGGAGGATAAACATGATGGTGCCACACGTGGACGCTCTGAATTGATTCCAGGGAAGATGATCTATGATCCTAGATTAACTGGTTTTATTCAGGAGGTTCCACATGGAGAAGCTCCATCTTGGCCTCATGAGTCGGACAGAATCTTTCCAGAACTTTTTGAGTTTCTGAACTAAATTCAGTGAGTTTCTATCAGGATAACAATCCTGAACTGAGAGTTCAGCCTGAAGGGTTCTGGGCGACGGTCTGCTCTATCAGATCTACATCGGCTTTATCTCCTCTGGTGTTCAGGGAGGCTTCATACAGTCCCAGAGATCAACCAGTCATTTTTTTCTTTTATGCTTATACCAATAATTATTAATGACTCTAACAGACTGACTGCTGAGATGTGCTCCCCTTTTTTTGGAGCTGATGATCTTCCTCTTCCTACTTTTAGATCATTAGAAATGACTAAATAATAAATGAAATAAATTAAAAGAAACAACCCATGAGAACATTAGATCCTGGAGGGAGCAGCGATTCTTGCAGTTCAGCTGACCTCCAGGCTTTGCTGCTGCTAGCTGTTGGTAGAGGAAAATGCTAATATTGACCTAAAATCTGGTCAGACTAATGTTTCATATCGGAAGCAGCAGCAGCTCCCAGTAAAACCAGAAGCCTGCTACTGGTTCAGGTCCAACATCAGAACTACAGAACCAGCAGGACTAGAGAAGAACCAGGCGATGGTCAGCGTGCTGATGGAACATCTCAGGGTGAAGCTCTGGTTGCATCTCTAACCATCTTCTTTTTGTTCCACCAGTTGAACAACCTGGACCCGGAGCTGAAGAACCTGTTTGACATGTGCGGCATCTCCGAGGCCCAGCTGAAGGACAGAGAGACGTCCAAAGTCATCTACGACTTCATCGAGAAGAAGGGTGGGATGGAGGCGGTGAAGAACGAGCTGAGGAGGCAGGGTGAGAGCAGACACATCGACCCATCACGGGTCGGTCCAGGTACCGCTAGAACTGAGCAGAACCAGCAGCCGGCCTAGAAAAGGTGGCTGGAGGGACGTCCTTCCTGTGGCTGGTTCTAATGGTCCTGCCTCGGCTGAATATTAGGCCCGGCTGGTTCTGGTTCCTCATCTACTGTGAACCAGCAGCCCACTGCTGTAGAGTTAGAAAAACAGACTCTGTTTCTTTCTTCCAGTTAAAGAGTTGAATAAAGATCACCCGGGTCGGTGAAGGAGGTGGGAAGTTTGCTTCCTGGGTCGGTGAAGGAGGCGGGAATTTCCGAGTTTGTTAGCTAGACTCTTCCTGTTTCCCTTCAGAGGAGATTGATATTTCTGTAGAGCTAGTCTCACTAGATGTGCTCCCTTGGGGGCGGCTGGTTCTGACTAAGGTCTGGTCTCCCGTGGGGGGGGGGGAGCGGGTTCTGACTCGGTTCGAGTCTCCCGTGGGGGGGGGGGTGCTGGTTCTGACTCGGTTCGGGTCTCAGTCCAGATGAAGAATGTTGATTCTGTTCTGATTCGGATTTCTTCTCCCTTTGCAGCTCCTCCTCCACCTCCTTCCCGGGGTGGTGCCCCCCCTCCCCCTCCTCCTCCTCCACACAGCACAGCCCCACCTCCACCCCCCCCTCCACCGTCCAGAGTGAGCAGAGGAGCACCTCCCCCACCCCCCCCATCCAGAGCACCTGTTTCAGCTCCCCCCCCCCCCTCCTCCCTCCAGACCAGGAGCTCTTGGTGCTCCTCCTCCTCCTCCCCCCTCAAGGGGAGGCCCCCAGCCTCCTCCCCCTCCTCACCATCACCACCAGCAGTGCCCCCCTCCTCCCCCTCCATCATCATCGTCCGCCCCTCAAGCTCCTCCCCCTCCTCCTCCCATTCTGCCGCAACCAGCTCCTGCAAGCTCTGCACCAGCAGCCCCCACCCCTCCCCCTCCTGCCCCCCCTCCTCCCCCAGACCTGGATGGAGTCGGCAGCGGTGAACACTCTCCCAGTTCTCCAAACCCAGGTGGGAAGTCTGCGCTGCTGGAGCAGATCAGAGGAGGAACCCAGCTGAAGAGGGTGGAACAGAACAACAGAGCTCCGGTGTCGGGTTCTGGACGGGATGCTCTGCTGGACCAGATCCGACAGGGAATCCAGCTCAAGACTGTGAGCAGCTATTTCGCACAAACACATGCAGGACAATCAGATTTTTGTGCTTCAGGTTTAAGGTCCACCTGTAGTAGGAAGGGTTCTGGTTCTGGTTCTGATAGACGCATTTCTGCTGAGCTCTGAGCTATGGCTCCTGTTTAGGTAAAATTATCAATCGGAAACATCAGGAGCCGACGAAAGGTCCGGCACTGGTCCGCCGAAGGAAACGGTTCAGGGAGCATTAGCAGGAGTTAGCATTAGTGGGAGTTAACTTTAACAGGGGTTAGCATTAGTAGGGTTATAGTTTAGGAGGTAAGGGTTAGCAGGTTTAGCATTAGCAAGGTGGGCTTTAGCAGGGTTAGCAATAGCAGGGTTAGAGTTTACAAGGCTAGAGTTAGCGGTGTTAGAATTAGCAAGGTTAGCATTGGGAAGTTTAGCCTTAGCACGGTTAGCATTGGCAGGGATTAGCATTAGAAAGGGTTAGCATTAGCAAAGTTAGCATTAGCAGGGTAAGAGTTTATAAACTTGAGGTTAGCAGGGCTTAGAGTTAGCAAGGTTAGCATTAGAAGGATTAATTAGCAAGTTACATTAGTGTTAGCAGATTTAAAGCTAGCAGGGTCAGAGACGATTCTCAGCAGGCAGCCCTTCAACCCAGAAAGGCTCCAAATGTAGAATGAGTTTAGGCCAGGGGCTCCTCAGGGACGCGGTCCTGATCCTCAGGGACCCCCATCCTGATCCTCGGGGACCTGGTCCCACATGTTTTAGGTTTTCCTTGTTGCATCACAGCAGAAAAGAACAAATCATTAACAGATTTCTGCAGCAGCTGATTGCTGAGCAGGAATCAGGTGGAACAGAGACGCATCTAAAACATGCAGGTCAGGGGTCCAATCCTCGAGGAGCAGGGGTCCCCGGGGAGCTGTCTCCTTCGGGAGCTGTCTCCTTCGGGAGCTGTCTCCTTCGGGAGCTGTCTCCTTCGGGAGCTGTCTCCTTCGGGAGCTGTCTCCTTCGGGAGCTGTCTCCTTCGGGAGCTGTCTCCTTAAGGAGCTGTCTTCAGCGTTGTTAGTGCTGTTCTAAGAACTCTAATTCTAATTTGGTGTGTTTACTGATCTGAGTAAATATAGGATCTATCAGTTTCTCACCCTTAGACCACTAGTCTGTGTGATTTCTTTCTGCATCTCCAGCTCCACAGATTAAAGAAACCTTGTTTCAATAGAACAATCTTTCATTTGGTAAATGAATGCTTTCTTGATGCAAAGAAAAAAGGTGAAAAGGTTTAATTTGACAGTTTTTGTGCCTTCAGGTGTCTGAACATCCAGAATCTGGCCCCCCAACACCAGCCCCAGCTGCAGGGATCGTTGGGGCCCTCATGGAGGTCATGCAAAAGAGGAGCAAAGCTATTCATTCCTCAGGTAAGTTTCTGCATCACCTGAAATAAAGAGAGCCCCGACCAGAACCAGCAGAACCTCCTGCATGTACTGGTTCTGACTGGACTGAGACGGTCCTGATACCATCACCAAGCCCTAGATCATCTAATCTAGGACCGGTGTTTGTTTGGAACCCAGGGAGGCTGTGGGGGCCCAGGGGCAGCCGGATCAGCCAGACTCCCTCAATCATTGGCCCCTAAACCTACTGCAGGCTCTAAATGAAGGACCTGAACCTAAATCCAACAGGATTCAAAGATGTTTGGTACGGCGTGGCTTTGGAGCCAAAGTTCAGACTGTCATCAACCTGCGGGATCCGTGAGCAGTGGCGCCTCCAGAAATGTTTCATACGGGGGCCGGATGGGGCCACTAAAAAGCCTGGGGTGGCCACTGAAACTAAAAGCCATAATTTCAGGGTTATAATCTGCTATTACCTGCCTGTAGAAAACTATCATAAAAACTTCAGTAAACAGCTACTCAGATCTGCATTTATTTTAAAACTTAATGTTATTAATGATCTAATGTGTATAGATACAGACCAATTAACATGTTGAGTTGAACAGCAATTGCTTTTTATTATTTAATCATATTTGGAACAAGATGTACATTTATTCAGTTATTGAACACAAAAACAGATCAATACTGGGCAAAAGCATTAAATGTAGATAAAAATAAAAGGAAGAACAGAAACTATGTCTTTGGTTATGTAACAGAAATTTCCAAACAGAGATAAAGAGTCTTATTTCTGCTTAATGTGAAACAAAATTAATAATTACTTTTACAAAAAGAACTTCCCAGCAAAGATCCACAGTCATTAGAACAGCTTTATTTGCCTGTTTTTTTTTTTGCTTGTTGGCAAATGCATCCACAAAGTCATCAAGGCCCTTCTGGATTCTGCACTCAGCACACCCGAACAGTGAAAGCCCAGCAGTCGTGGTTATTCTCAAGGCAGTTTTGATCAACTTAAAAAATAAATAAAAAAATACACTCACAGGTTGCATTTCTCACAGGTGATGGAAGATCAATTTTGCAAAGTTTAAACATTTGGTGTAAGAACTCCGTTTTTGGCTCAAGAAAGACAGTGAGCTCTGTTCATGTGTTTGGAGTCGAACAGAAATGAAGTACATCATATCCCTTAAACAGCAAGTAAATAGCTTTTGTTCATAAACAGGTAACTGTTTCCTCAAACTTTAGAGAAAAAACTTTATTGGTCTGTTAACATAAAATATTAATGGAATGAAAGCCACAAAATAAAAACCTCTGAGATAAATGCAAAATATACCACCATGGGCGTCCATGTATTTTAACAGCTGACTCAAAAGGCGACGCACACAACAACATGTGTTGGTTAGTGAATTTTAGGAGGGAGCTAGCAACACACACACACACACACACACATACATTTACCTTACCAAACTCTGTGTAGCACTACTGAACTATTTAAAATATCCCAAAAACACATTTAACATGACTTCAACATGTTAGTGGATTACTGCAATCATGCTAACTATGTTCTACAACAATAACAGGCCTGAAAATGGGGAAGAATAATGACCGTGAGAAGAGTGTTTCCTCAGCGAGAACCTTTCGTCTAATGAGGAAAAGACCTCAGCATCTCCAGGCATGAGGGCCAATACGGTTCAGTGTGTTCACTTAAAGATCACCTCCTAAATTCACACTCCTTAACCACAAATTGCACAATCAGACAGGCACTGGCCATCATCCTTGGTGGCGCCACTGTCTGTGATTGGCTGGAGCCGGTTAGCTGTGGACAGGCTAGCCCATTACCTACCCCGTCCATTAGCACAGCTAGGCTAGTGTTAGCATGGATAGCATGTTAGGTTGGTCACCTAAAGGGCTCTTCCCCTACTTTCCTGCATCAGACCAGCAGCTGATGGCCTCCTGCTCTGTCCTGCTGGCTTTCTAACCCTTCCTGTTTGTTTTCTCAGATGATGACGAGGATGAAGAAGAGGATGATGACTTTGAGGATGATGAAGAGTGGGATGACTAGTAGAGCCGTCCGCCTTGCTCCCATGCCTACACTAAATCTTCCAGACCCTAAATTCACCCAGAAATGGAAACGTTTGACTTTCCTCCATATTTATTTTCTTCCATGTAATCTGTGCAATACCTCAGCCGTTCCCTCCACCCAAAACCCTGCTGGGAGGAACTGTCCCGCTCACTGGGAGGCACCTGAAGGCACCACTAACCCGGAGCTGGGACTGGGCCGGCTGCTTTCCTCCTCCACTGAGCAGCAGGGAGGAGGTCGAGCTGCTCCCTGCTTCGGCTGAGCTCATCTACTCCATTTCATCATCTGTTGTCCGGGCAGGAAAATCCTTCTCCTCCCGCTTGTTCTTCTTCTTGGCGTCTGACTCAGAGCTCTGACTCTGCGACCAAACTGTGTGGATCTTTAACTTTCTCATGTGATTTAAAGCCGTTTTTGTTTTTTTTGCACAGTTTCTGACGTAGTTTTGTTTTGTGTGTTTTTACGCCGCGGCTGTTAACGTAACCAGACAATGTTTTTAGTTTCCTCTGGGCGTCTCAGTAATTTAGAGCTGACATGATGACCTTTGTTTTCCCAAACATTCCTTTCTGTGCAGGAAGTAGCACAGTCAGTCTGTCACACTGTTAAAAGAAGGAAAAATGTTGTTTCTTTCAGTGAACTATGATTTTATGCAATGCAATTGTAAATGTCCTCCTATTGCAAATATGAGACAAAGCAAATAATCCTGAACCAAATGAGGCATTTTAAGGAAGCTTGTTGCTTTAGCGATGCCTGTGATCGTTTGTCTGCAAACCGTCTGTCCTCCAGCGAGGCCTAATGCTGCATCAACAAGCCAAGATACTGACAGAGAAACCTGTGAAAAGGTTGGGGGGGGTTGAATTGTATACCTGAATAAATGTTATTATTTACAGAGATCAGCCGCTCTGCTGGATTTTTTCTTTATTCGATACAATTCAGTTTTATTTCTATAGCACCGATTCACATCATGTCATCTCAAGGCACTTTCCAGTTCACCAGATCATCCAGTCAGATGGATTCAAAGGTTTCTAAGGGAAACCAGCTGATTGCATTGACTCCTCAGCAATCCCTCACACTAAGCATGCTTGTACAGTAGAGACAGTGGAGAGGAAAAACTCCCTTTGAACAGGAAGAAACCTCCAGCAGAACCAGGCTCAGTGTGAGCGGCCATCTGCTGAGGCCGACTGGGGTTCAAGGAGACAGAAGCAGACATAGAAAAAGAAGCATAGATGCAAAAGGCAACTGTCAATCAGCTCCACAGGCGGCCCCGTCCAGGAAACACACAGCCAGGCAGACGATCTCCGAGCCAGCTCCCATGTCAGAGGATGAAGAGAGCACATCGAGTTAGTCACAGTCAGAGAAACAGGACTACACTGAAAAAAAGGCCAATCTTGTATCTGTGTCACGGACTAAAACTGGTAGTTGGTTCCACTGGAGGGGAGCTTGATAACTTGATTAACCTTTAATGGGTTTAACTACAGATTCTCTGTAATTCAGGAAGATGATGAGAACTTCAGAATTCCAATAAAGTCAAACAAACCACTAGGCTTTATATTCCAAGTTTGTAGACATTTTGTTTAGACAAAACAATGCTTTGTTGGTCCACTCTATAAAGCCTGGAACTCAACGCTATTTCTGACACTTTGAATTGAAAAGGCTTCCTGGATGGAAGAGAACCGTCTTCAAACTTGGAAACAAAGTCCAGTGGATATTTTTTTATTTTTTTTTTTTTTTTACGTTTTTGGAATCTCTATGACCTGGATGACTGAGAATCTTCACCGACTCAGTATTAGTTTCTAACACTTCCTCTTGTTTTTATGATATTCAAGCAAAATCTTTCCTCCAATAAATCCATAGAGTGGAACAAAAAATCTACATGAATGTAGAATGAAGCTAAACACAGAATAAAATTTTCGACACTTCAAATTCCTAAAGATGAGGACGGGCTGCCTTCACTCAGTCTAGAAGACTATTTCTATGCAGTGAAGCTAGAGTCTATAATAGATTCTGACCACATGACAAAGTGGAAACAAATATAAATGGGTAGTATAGATCATGTACAATCTATGATCGAAAGGAATTTGGACTCAATCCCTAGATTAAACATTTGGTTTAACATGATGGATGGATGGGTGGTTGGATGGACAGATGGATGGCTGATGAATGATGGACGGATGGGTGGATGGATGGTGGACGGATAGATGGATGATGGACGGATGGGTGGATGGATGGTGGACAGATAAATGGATGGATGGATGGACAGATAGATGATGGACGGACGGGTGGATGGATGTATGGATGGATGATTGAGGGATAGATGGATGATGGACAGATGGGTGGATGGATGGATGGTGGACGGATGGGTGGATGGATGGATGGATGGTGGACGGATGGGTGGATGGACGTATGAAGGACGGATGGGTGGATGGATGGATTGATGGACAGATGGGTGGATGAATAGATGGATTGATGGACAGATGGGTGGATGGATGCCAGTTCCCAGTTCTCTTGGACTGGTGTTTTTGGTCCTGGCCATGGAACACTGGATCAGCTCTGCACCCTCAGCAGGATTCTGGAAAGTGTATGTGTTTTGTAGACCTGGAGAAGCCATTCAACCGTGTCCCTCGGGGGGTCCTGTGAGGGGAGTATGGCCCTTTAATAGGGGCTGTTAGGTCTCTGTATGACCGGTGTCAGAGCCTGGTCCACATTGATGGGCAGTAAGTCGGACTTGTTTCCGGTGAGGTTTGGACTCCGCCATGTTGCCCTTTGTCACTGTTCATAACTTTTATGGACAGAATTTCTAGGCGCAGCCAAGGTGTTGAGGAGATCTGTCTTGGTGGCCTTAGGATTGCATCTCTGTTATTCGCAGATGATGTGGTCCTGCTGGCTTCATCAGGGCGTGATCTACAGCTCTCACTGGAGCGGTTCGCAGCCGAGTGTGAAGAGGCCAGGATGAGGATCAGTGCCTCCAAATCCGAGACCATGGTCTTGAGCCGGAAAAGGGTAGAGTACCTTCTCCGGGTTGGGGAGGATGTACTGCCCCTAGTGGAGGAGTTTAAGTATCTTGTGGTCTTGTTGAAGAATGAGGGGAAGATGGAGCGGGAGTTTGATAGGTGGATTGGTGCGGTGTCTGTGTGAAATGGGCCCTGTGCTGGTCTGTTGTGGTGAAGAGAGAGCTGAGCCAAAAAGCAAATTTCTCGATTTACCAATTGATCTATGTTCCTACCCTCATCTATGGTCATGAGCTTTGGGTCATGACCGAAAGAATGACATCCCGGATACAAGCGGCTGAAATGAGTTTTCTCCGTAGTGTGTCCGGGCTCTCCCTTAGAGATAGAGTGAGAAGCTCAGTCATCCGGGGAGGACTCAGAGTAGAGCCGCTGCTCCTCCACATCGAGAGGAGAAAGTTGAGGTGGCTTGGGGATCTGGTTAGGATGCCTCCTGGACTTATCCCTGGTGAGGTACTGCAGGCATGTCCCACTGGGAGGAGACCCAGGACACACTGGAAGGACTATGTGTCTCGGCTGGACTGGGAGCGACTTGGGATTCCCCGAGAGGAGCTGGCCCAAGTGGTTAGTGAGAGGGACGTCTTGGCCTCCCTACTGAAGCTGCTACCCCCGTGACCCGACCCCGGATAAGCGGAAGAAGATGGATGGATGGATGGATGGATGGATGGATGGATGGATGGATGCATTGATGGATGGATCTATGAATCAAGGTTTTCTGTCCAACAGCAATGATGAACATTCTATACCCAGCTATTGTAGCATCTAGGATAGAGCAGTTAGTCTTGGAAATAATCTTGTTGTTTATTTATAAAGGTTCACTTTTTTATGAAGTGCAACATAAAACTGACTAAAACTAGACTAAAACCTTTTAGAGTTTTAGCCGACTAAAACTATCACATATCTTAATGACTGAAACCCCCACCCCACCCCCCGTAACGGATTGTCTTGATTTCTTCCAAACAGACAGTGGACCTGCGGTCGACGCTCCAGCAGTGCTCAGTGGGCGCGTCCACTCAGATGACCGGCATTGGCTGCTATGTGTCCTGTCTGAGGGACAGGTTGATCATTCCTGGGAAATACACCACTGCTGCTGAGTATCATGGCCGGAGGTTGGAAGCTGTGAGTGGAAACTGGTTTGCTGTTTCTACCCAATAAAAAGAGCAAGTTAACTGATGGTAGCTGAGGTGACAGATCTCCAGCAGGTGCAGTTAGTCAGGAAGGGCAGAGTGTTTACAGGTGCTGGTCATAAAATTAGAATATCATGAAAAAGTAGATTGATTTCAGTAATTCCATTTAAAAAGTGAAACTTGTATATTATATTCATACATTACATACAAACTCATATATTTCAGATGTTTATTTTGTTTAATTTTGATGATTACAAATGACAACAAATGAAAATCTCAAATTCATCATATCAGAAAATTAGAATATTACTGAAGACCAATAAAAACAAAGGATTTATAGAAATGTTGGCCAACTGAAAAGTATGAACATGAAAAGTATGAGCATGTACAGCACTCAGTATTTAGTTGGGCCTTCTTTGGCCTGTATTACTGCAGCAATGCGGCGTGGCATGGAGTCGATCAGTCTGTGGCACTGCTCAGGTGTTATGATAGCCCAGGTTGCTCTAATAGTGGCTTTTAGCTCGTCTGAATTGTTGGGTCTGGTGTATTGCATCTTCTTCTTCACAATACCCCATAGATTTTCTATGGGGTTAAGGTCAGGAGAGTTTGCTGGCCAATTAAGAACAGGGATACCATGGTCCTTCAACCAGGTACTGGTAGCTTTGGCACTGTGTGCAGGTGCCAAGTCCTGTTGGAAAATGAAATCTGCATCTCCAAAAAGTTGGTCAGCTGCAGGAAGCATGAAGTGCTCTAAAACTTCCTGGTATGTGGCTGCGTTGACCCTGGACCTCAGAAAACACAATGGACCAACACCAGCAGATGACATGGCACCCCAAACCATCACTGACTGTGGAAACTTTACACTGGACTTCAAGCAACGTGGATGAAGTGCCTCTCTTCTTTTCCTCCAGACTCTGGGACCTTGATTTCCAAAGGAAATGCAAAATTTACTTTCATCAGAGAACATGACTTTGGACCACTCACCAGCAGTCCAGTCCTGTTTCTCTTTAGCCCAGGCAAGACGCTTCTGACGCTGTCTGTGGTTCAAGAGTGGCTTGACACAAGGAATGCGACAGCAGAAACCCATGTCTTTCATACGTCTGTGTGTGGTGGTTCTTGAAGCACTCACTCCAGCTGCAGTCCACTCTTTGTGAATCTCCCCCACATTTTTGAATGGGTTTTGTTTCACAATCCTCTCCAGGGTGCGGTTATCTCTCTTGCTTGTACACTTTTTTCGACCACATCTTTTCCTTCCCTTCGCCTCTCTATTAATGTGCTTGGACACTGAGCTCTGTGAACAGCCAGCCTCTTTAGCGATGACCTTTTGTGTCTTGCCCTCCTTGTGCAAGGTGTCGATGGTCGTCTTTTGGACAACTGTCAAGTCAGCAGTCTTCCCCATGATTGTGTAGCCTATAGAACTAGACTGAAAGACCATTTAAAGGCTTTTGCAGGTGGTTTGAGTTAATTAGCTGATTAGAGTGTGGCACCAGGGGCCATCAATTTTGAACCTTTTCACAATATTCTAATTTTCTGATATGATGAATTTGAGATTTTCATTTGTTGTCATTTGTAATCATCAAAATTAAACAAAATAAACATCTGAAATATATGAGTTTGTATGTAATGTATGAATATAATATACAAGTTTCACTTTTTAAATGGAATTACTGAAATCAATCTACTTTTTCATGATATTCTAATTTTATGACCAGCACCTGTATATTAAATGAATTACATTTGATCATCTAACACAATCTCTGA